CAGCCCAAGTTCTTACCCCACCTTTGCCCCAACTCCTGCCCCTGCCCCTGTGTACTCACTCAGTGGCGCCGCCCTGCTGGTGCTTAGTGTTCTGAGACATCCCTGCACCTGCCTGGAGAGAACAGACACAGTCACAAACACAGAGCCCCCCTCACACACACACACACACCCACTCAGGGACAGTCAGGCCAGAACACGGAGCTGCCGGACGGACCCCCGACCGCCAGAGGTGAGGAGGTCAGACCCGCACAGTCCGCTCCCTCCGTCCACAGAACAGCGCCCGACCAGCAAACACCCCAATTTCAAACAACATCGCGACTGCGCCCCCAACGGTTCCGCGCTGGTCCCAATTATAATAATTAAGGTAGACAAGGTACAGAGGTTCAAATATGAAAGGCAGAATCCATCACGAACTTGTTATATAGCTAAAATATAAATCAAAAATATAAATTAGTCACGGCAGCTTGTATCTTTTTTTCTCCGTCTGCTACAGCACGGCCCCCCTCACGGTGGAGTTAAAATAACCAGGCTTTTAACAAAAGAGCGCATAATCCTACGCTTCGTCCATCTCTCACGGCTAAAACCGAACCTGTGGGGCCCTATAGGGGGTCTCGGCTCTGCCGCTCGAAGTTTTAGAGTTTTCTATGGCGAAACCACGTTTTTTTCCACACAGATAATTCAATAAAACACGGTGAAAAAAACTTCACAGTTACCTCTCGACAACCCACAGCTTCTCGCTATCCGCCCTCTCAACCAAACTCCGGGAAGGCAATTATCATACCGCCCTGAGCCATTCCATTGGCTCTTCCGGATATCCGAAACTCTGATTGGCTCTGGGGGTTCGCGGGAGGCGGGGTGTCTGCTTCTTATAAAAAGTTATCGGGAAGCCTGGATTGGGCAAGCGCGATAAAGCACGCGTTCTATTGGGTAATATGGGTGTCAGTCACGGAAGCGGTTCACCATATAGTTTGTCGGTTTTGTTTTGGGTCTTGAGAATTGCGAAATGTGATTTTATAACATACATTTTTACATTAAATAGGATTTCAACTTCTCAATGTTCAAGGTTCTCAATTCTAATATTTAAATCTGAGATTTGCTTGAAACAAAGTCAATAAAACTTTTCTAAGAGTTAAATGTATCTATACATTTTTGTTTTCACGTGAAACAAAACGGTAATATTTTAGCCCCACTTTACATATACAATGTATATATTATCCAGTATATAAATATGTCCACAATTCCAGTCCTGGAGAGGTCAGTGTGTCTGCAGGCTGTCCAGTCCTGGTCCTGGAGGGTCAGTGTGTCTGCAGGGTTCTCCAGTCCTGGTCCTGGAGGGTCAGTGTATCTGCAGGGTGTCCAGTCCTGGTTCTGGAGGGGTCAGTGTGTCTGCAGGGTGTCCAGTTCTGCTATTGGAGGGGTCAGTGTGTCTGCAGGCTGTCCAGTCCTGGTCCTGGAGGGTCAGTGTGTCTGCAGGGTGTCCAGTCCTGGTCCTGGAGGGGTCAGCATGTCTGCAGGCTGTCCAGTCTTGGTCCTGGAGGGTCAGTGTGTCTGCAGGGTGTCCAGTCCTGCTATTGGAGGGGTCAGTGTGTCTGCAGGCTGTCCAGTC